CCTACTGATTTCAAAGGAGCCTGTGTTGAACAAAGCTCCACATAAAATTGGGAAATATATCCTAATTTTCTCCCAAAGCATAAGGTGCTTGCTAATGGCAAATCAGTGATGAGGTTGTACTGCCTCATTCTGGGACCTGAGGCAAGTCATCAAAGCAATATTGCTCAAACCATACTGCTTTGAGGTGAATCCCTTGGTGACTGCAGCTTATGGCCTTGAAATACCTGGAAATGCCTCTGTCTGTGTCCTTCTCAACAAATGACCATCCCTATACAAGGCCTCATTGTTTACCCCTGTACAGGATGGTGGGATGGGACTGCTGAGCCCACAGGGTGGTCTGCCTGGTGGTGTGTTCCCACCAGGCATGGCTCTTCCTCTCTTCTTTCCTCCCCCCAGTTCTACAGAACCATGGCATTACTCCTGCACTGGAGTATGTCTGGCTCACAGAAAAAAAGCAGACTGACCTGATTGCTGAATCTGGTGTTGAGTCACACCCTAAAAAAGAGGCCGTTCTGCTGTGTTTCAAATTTGTGAGAAACTAGGGCGGTTCAGGGAAAAGGGCTGGGGAACTTCAATTTTGTGTTTGACTCTGGATCTAAGAGGTTTGTCTACGGTCTAGTATGACTATGACTGCCATAATGCATCTGATCTGCGGTAAATGATCCATGTGTTTGGAAAAATACACTCAGTTCTACTGTTTTTATACAGAAATGCCTGAACTGTCTCATGATGAACGTTCTTTCTGATGGCTATGCCTTTTGAGGAGGTTTTGGTTTTGTTTGTTTGTTTGTTGTTGTTGTTTGGTTTTTTGTGTGTGTATGAAGGAATTTAGGCTGATTCATAAGTCTTCCTCTTTGCGGCAGCAGTTTTAAATAGCAAATGGGGAAGAGGGACCTTTTCAGTCACCCCTTGCTCAAAAAGGTCTGGGTCTAGAAGTGATCAGTGTATCAGATATTACTCTCTCCATAAATTAAGGAAACATTTGGGATGTGGATAGCATCAAATTAGTGCTTCTATTTTTGAACCATTTCTTGTTACTGTTGATAGATATATTTTTTTGTAATCCATTTGTTCCTCTTTCCTAATGGATGTTCATCATAAATCCTTTGCTCATGACAAGCGTAAAATATTCAGAGAAAACTTGGGGTTTCACCTGTCTCCATAGCTGAAGGCAGTTTGAGTTTTGTAAAGCTGTTGATTTGGCTTCCAAAGTGTATAAATAGAAGTGAATTTGAGAATTGGTTTTTATGTTGTTTGCACCTCATAGTTCAAATATTTCTATACTAGGAAGGGTTACTTCTGAAGTTGTTTCAGATAGAAGTCTCCTATTCTTAGAGAGACATAAAGACTAAATATTAGCTATCATGAACACTGGTCAGTCAAATTAGTACAAGTGGCTTTCAAGGTGTTACCAGATCAGTGTGTTTTAATTTGCACCCATCTTTCATTCACTTTTATGAGCATGGACTACATATAGTACAGAATGGCTTGGAACTCAATCCTTTTTTCTCTTTGCTATAACTGTTTTTCTGGACTAGCACAACTGTCATTTTTGCCTTAGAAATGTTAGTAAAATTTTATTCTCACTGTCTGATCTGTCTTTATCGTCTTTTCTACCTATCCATCCCTTGTTTTCCTTTAATACTCATTGTTAAATCAATGTAAGGAAAGAAACTTGAAGTCTCCAGGTCAGTTAAAACCTACTGACTCATGGATATCCTGTTCCACTGAACTCTGAGTATGCTCATTTTGATGGGTTTCCTTTGCTCTTCTTTCTACTAATGGTAGTTGATTTTGGGTGGGGAAAATGATCCCTTTCCCATCACAGCCCCCCTTAATTGATTAAATGCATTATATAATCTAAGCCTTTTTTTTTTTTTCAGGAAATTATGGGGAAAGTGGAATGGAAGCCTTCAAAGAGCTGGCTGCCCAAGAGGGTCTCTGCATTGCTCACTCTGACAAGATCTACAGCAACGCTGGGGAAAAGAGCTTTGATCGCCTGCTCCGCAAGCTGCGAGAAAGGTTACCCAAGGCCAGAGTGGTGGTTTGCTTCTGTGAGGGAATGACAGTGAGGGGGATCCTCATTGCCATGAGGCGCCTGGGAGTGCTTGGGGAGTTCCTGCTAATTGGAAGGTAAGACTCTGGGATTTCTCTGCCTCTCTTCTCCCTCTCATCCTGCAGGCAGGCATTTGATTTCAGAACCGTGCAGCTTAGCTACCTGCAGTTTCCATATTTACTTGTCTAATGAATGAGAAGAGGTGGTAAGATGGTAGAGCAGATCTCACGAAAGGTGATATGACTGTGTATGCCAGTTTAATCAGAGGTGATACCTTTTGCTGAAGTAAATGTTAGTTACTAACTCCTTTATATGTATATAGGACATTAGTGTTTTTGTGCTTTTGCACACTCTGAAGGAATGTTTCATGTACAGAATTTAGAACCAAAGTAGGGAGGGAAAGATCCTAGTTTCAGAATGTGATCTGGAAGTGTGACATGACAATATTTCATGTGTTTAACTAAAGATGTCTCTTGATAATTTGAAACCCCGAATTATTGAATGGTTTTGATTACTTGAGCTTTTTTCCAGTCTTGTGATTACAACCTGGCATTCTCAGTTGTACACTTTGTTCTGATCTTTGCTGTTGAAAGCTGGGGCACTGCTATTATGCTGACTTGTTTGCTTTTTAAAACATCAAACTTGCTGATGTCTAAATGAGGATGTATGTGTGTTTTTATATTACTAGAGTAACAGTGCAGATGTGTTGGACAGACAAAGGGTGTTTTTATTAAAGCAGGAATGATTGCTTTTTTCTACTAGAGTTTATCTTTATAGGTATTCACTGAAATACGGTATTTTAGTTCTATGACATATTTCCTATCCACATTTCCATTTTTGTGATAGTTCTTATTTTGAGGCTTCTTTGAATTCCACCTTGATTTTTGCAATGTCTTTATGTCCTTTTTCCTGTCTTGATGAATCTTGTTCAAATGATGAGGACTGATATTTCGTCTTCTTTGTTAGATTGAAAATGTCTGTTTTATTATTTCTATTTATTGTTTGATTCTTTCTTATTATTTTAAAATACCTTCAAGAAATGTTTAAATTAATTCCTTCAAGGCCTTTGGCGGTTGTGTCAGCACCTATTCAGTTTCTGTTGTTATCTTATTTCATCAGGCTTCTTTTTGCCCCTTTCCTTCCCTAAAGTCTTTGTGTCTGTCATTGTCATGACTAGAATCCTCTCCTTTCACTCTGCATTATAATATTGCTCTCCCATGACTGTATTGCTCCTCAAAACCCACAGTTATGATTTCTATAAGTCAGATAGCTAATCTGGCCCAAACAACAGTTTGAAAACAACCAGTCACTCTTAAATTTTTTTAGTTGCAGTCTTTGTTTGCAGTGTATTTGGAGCAGAGGCGGTACCTCTAGAAGGTTGTGAAGATAAGATGTAGAACACCTGGAGAACCCTTAGCTTTAAAATGAAACAAGGAGTAAGGTGGTATTGCAAACAGTATCATGTTCTAGATTGTGTATGTGTGGCATCGTTCAGTTTGCATCAGCTGAAATGAATAATGGAATGTTTCACTACTGACATGTTTCAACTATGGTTTTTCAGTTGATATAAGAAACTGACTATAATAAAATCAATCTGAATGATAGCATCTCTGGTCTTTTAGTAGGTGCCCTGGAGCTTTAGGTAATGCTGTGGTTTCTTCATGTATTATCACTGTTATGGTGTCCCATTGTTCACCTGATTTTGGTGCTCCCTCTTGATGCTGTCCATACAGAGAGCCAACAAAGGAATTAAGCCTCCTATATTGAGCACCAAACCTAGGCACTTTGGTAATACAAATCTTAGTTTCCTATTAGGCCACTTACTTGATCCCCATGCTCCTTGGATGTGTGGAATATTTCGCCTTGAAATTTTGATGATAAGCTTTTACCAAACATTCTGCTACTCTATGTAGTTCAGTTGTTTGTCTTAGAATCTGCCTAACAATGTTGCTCTGAGCTTTTTGTCAGGAATGCTTACCTATTAAATGCTAATAATGGAATTTCTTTGGGAATTACAATGTATTTTTCAGGTAGATTTTCACATACCCTTCTTTTATGATTGCAATGGAGTCCCTTTTAGGGTTGGGTGCTTTGTGCCAATCATAAAATAAGCCAGTTCTTGCTTTGCACGGTCTGGATTGTGCCTATTATTTAGTTGAAATGGTGTTATAGGGCTTGCACATTTTTTGTGCCTGCAGAACTAAAAGAAAAGACATTTTCTTTGAATTGTCCTAATTAAGTGATTTTTAAAAACGGCAAATCAAACTTGTGAATAAGTAAGTTGCAGCAAAACTGCAGCGCTATGAATTTGGTCATCTATATACAAACAGGAACTAAAGCACACATTCACATTACTCTGACATGCTGTTTAGCCTTTTTTATTCAAGTACCCAGCTGAGCAAAAAAATCAAAAGCCTTTTAAGAACATTCTTTTAATTGAGGGAAGTGGGAGTGAATGTGAAATCAAGTTTTTTTCCAATAGTGAGCTAAACAAAGGCTTTAATTTACCCACAGGTTTATTATCAGCCACATTTTATCAACCTCAAACTCTGCTCTGAGTCACTATAAAGAGGAAGTCTTTGCAAAGGAACACCTGGCTAAATAGCTCTCTTCCTGCTACATCCTCAATATTGCTGTTGATCAAAGCAGACAGGAAAAGCTTAGCTTAACTAAATTCAAGGTATCAGAAAGAGAGCTGGGGAACTAAATTTGACTTCATTTTAATCTGAATTTCAGTCTCCTGTGTTAGTGAGAAGAAAGGGAATTTCGCTTTCTGAATCTGGAGGGAAGCTGGAATTAGGATAAGACAATAGAATAGGTTACAAACTGGCTTGAGATAGAATGGCAGATGTTCTGAAATTGATACACTGTTCAAATGTAGTGGAGAATTCAGTAAGAAAATTTAGTAAACTATTGTATGTATAAATCTATGTGGTAACTATAAATCTTAAAAGTGACTGACAATGAAAGGGAAAGAAAGAAAAACTGATCACGGCTCTTTGTATGAAAAGAATTATTAGAATAGTATTGGAGTAAGCAAAGGCAAAAATTATGCTAAGAAAATTAACTGTACTCTTAAGGGAGTTCAGGTGATAGCTCTTTTAGCAAAAATTAGTTTTGATGTGAAGAGATTATGTAGGAAGATGCTCAACATCATGTGTCTAATCATGTTTATGCAGGCCATTGGGTTTTATATTACTTAGTAAGCACCAATTAGATTTTGTGAGAATCTTGCAAGATGGATGAATTTCCGATATGTCTCCTGGCATGGTGCATCAAGATAAGGCACGGAACTGACTTTTCAGCCTCTGTGTGGGTAATGCAAAGCAAATGAAAAACATGAACAAAATACCCAGTCTGAAGAGGTACTCTGAGATTACTGGAGAAGATAATTTTTTAGATAAATTGTTGGAAATTAAAATGCTCTTTCCCAATTTGATCTCCTTAAGTCCTCCGATGGTGTGTGTAAAAGTATGAGTAACTCTAGGAAGGAAGGGATATATTAGTGCACATGCTGTTTTTCAATATAACACTTTGTAATGGACTATGTACAGCTTTACTTCCGTAGGCTTTCTGAGCTTTCTGATATTTTATGGTCTCCATTAATGGGCTCCATATATGGGCTGTTGTAGAACTATGAATTTTAAGTCTTGGTAGGGTGACCTTTCCTGAAAGTTTGAATGCTTGGCGGTGAAGATATGGTTGGATTCTCTGCTGTCAACCCAGAGCTTTATGGAGGGCAAGTCAGGCCTTTTCATATATCTAATAAAACCCATTTGGCATAGGATGACAGCGCTTTCAGGATGCATAGTGTAATGAAATTTTTCCTGACTGCCTTCATTTCAAAAGCCAATATTAATAATGGTGGGTTTGGCATTTAACTTCACACTTTCTGAAATATTGACAAGGCATCACCAGTGTAAGATGTTTGGTCCTATTATCTGACATTGTTGGATGGGTGGAACTTGATTGCATCCAAGTGTAAGAGTAAATAACTTGGCGAGTTCACAGTGAAACATACCCTGATGTAGTCAATCCCCAGGCATCCAGGGTGCGTGGGAGGATTTTGGCAGGTGTTTAGGGCAGTTATCACCTTCCAAATACTGGGATTTTACGCCTGTACAGTCATGTAATTCCATTAAATTGGTACAACACTTGACAGAAGAGTGCCTTGCCTATCTGGATCAGACCCATCAGACCCTAGCACTGAGTCTATTGAGCCTTTCAGCTCCATCATGGCAGAGAAAGGAGGGCCTCACCATTTGAGGATACCATGGTTAAGGCTGGGACCAAAACTGTATTTACACTGATGACCTCAGTTGTCAAAAAGAAAAACTGGTAGCAGAAATTGACAGGTCCGTAACATCCTTTAGTAAGGGAGGAGGAAGAGTCTGGCCAGGAAGCTGGTACTTCACCAAGGAAGCATAAGGAGCAGGTGGCAGAATCTTCTCACAATTCGATTCTATTTTAATTGGCAAAAAATTGTCTTAATTTGCCCCAAACTGAACCTCTTTTGCCTGTGATGGTATCTACTAAGCAATCTCCCTATCTTTATTTTTACCTGTGAGATTTTTCACCCTATTTTCTACCTTTCTTCTTTTGAGTGGATGGTTGAGTATTTGGCTACCCACCATAGAGGACACAGGTTGCACTGCCAAAAGCATGACATCATGTTCCATGTGAATGGAAATGTGGTATTAAGAAAACTGGTAATAATCCGGCATTGCCAAATGTATACAGTACAACCCAAACCACTATCATACCATGTGTGGTTTTTCTGAGAGGGCAGTCTGAGTGGTAAAACTCAGTGGCTCAAAAGTCGAAAGTAAAGACACCAACAAAATTGGCATGCTGGAAAAAAAGAGGAAGATAGTAATTTAAGAGCCAAAGGTTTACTTTTCAAGCATTTTGCAATAGGAAGAAGAATGGTTTATCTTTCTGGTACCTCCATAGCCAAAGATGCTTAAAATGACTCTTACTTATGACTCTGCTGTTGTTGACACTTCAGGTTAGTGGAGGATTGTTCAAATAGGTGTTCAGACGTAGTCAGAGATTTAGCTCTATCTGGATTCAAAAT